CCTAAGACAGAGGGTCAGGGCCAGTGGAGCAGCAGGAGGGAGAGACTCTTCATCCAGTCCTCTGGGAGGGACATATTGCCAGTGTTTCTCCCCACAGCAACACAGGCCACACTGGGCTTGGTTTCACTAGCCTTAATGCTGAAACCAAATGCAGGGATGCTTTGAGCAGAGTAAGACTTTGGTGGGTGGGCCTGGGAACCCAGGCATCTTTTTAAAAAGTCACATTAGTCCATAAGTGACTCTGAAACTTCTGCAACATGGGCTGCTGTAAGTTGGGGTCTCTGACATTCTTTCCCTGGCTCCCAACTGACCATGAGTGCCCCTCCCCTCCCCCTCCATTCCCAAAGCTGCTTCCCTGCCACTGCTCTCATGTCAATGTCAGGCTCCTCTGAGATGCTAATAGTTTTCATCTTAATTTACTTATTTTTCTGTTTCCTATTTTGTTTTGGTGTTTTGTTACTTAGCAACATCAAAAGGAGACAATAATAATGGATTCAGATGAAATCTCCAAGCAGTGATTTGCAAGGGTCAGTCCTATGGCCCTACAGCCACACCTCATGTGAATTATGGCCCCTCGGCCACTTTCCTTGGAAACTCCAAACCAGAAACCAAACCCACTAATGGCATGTTGATTCTGACTCATAGTGACCCTGTAGGACAGAGTATAATTGCCTAATCTTTACAGAAGCAGACTGTCACATCTTTTTCCCATGGAATGGCTGGTGGGTTCGAACTGCTGACCTTTTGGTTAGCAGCCAAGAGCTTAACCCCTCTGCCACCAGCGTTCCTCTCTAGAAACTCCAGGAACCTCAAAGTAAGTTTCCTATTCACCTGGGGAGATAGGCCTCAGGTTATAGACCTGCCTGAAGGGTCATCTCCAAACCTCCTCCAAGCTAAAGTTTAAGCAGAACCTGGAACATACTAACACTGGTCTGAGTAGAAATAATTACTCAGTTTAGTCAGTAAACAGAGATCCAGAGCCCCCTGTAAGTGGGGCCTTCTGCTAAGATTGAAGTGGGGATCCCAAGGCAGCAGACACAGTCTCTGTCCCCAGGCAGGTGGGGTGGGAGGCAAAGTTTTTGCTCTCAAGCAGCTTACTTTCTAAGTGGGCAAACACCCCATGGTACACACACAAACACTCCTCTGGCAATGTAGGAGCCCTGCATACAGAGTCAGGACACCTGAGTTCTAGTCTTATTTCTGCCACAGATTAGCTGTGTGACAACAAGCAAGTTATTGTTCATCTGTGTTTCTTCCTGTATAAAAGGAGAGAGTGTGAGATGCTCTCCCAGGCCTCTGCTAATGCTAACACTCTACTTCTGGAACAAATGAACAAATCAAAAGGCTAACACATGAGTGAAGAAATTAGCAAATGAGTGAAACCTTACTCTGTATGTTAACCCAGACATTGCTCAGAGGTCACATCACATGGCCCGGTCATATAAGCCTGGGGTTGCTGGAGGCTTTGGGCAGCAAAACATCCACATATACCCTGCCTCTCCTGGCACCCACCAACTCACCTCTTCAATGTTTATGCTGGTCTAGCCTCACTTCCACAGAGCAGAGCTGGAGTAAGGGCTGGTTTCCTTTAGCAACCAGGAAGTGGAGTGGCCTTGAGAGGCCTCTGGTCTGGGAAGGCCACAGGTCAGCAAGAGGCTGCCAGGCTGGACACCAGACCTAGATGGAAACATCTCACCTGGCTCTCTAGTCACTCATTTGCTGGCTCCCCAGGGGCATACATTATCTGTTCCTCACATCTGTTCCTCATCAAAACCCAGAGCGTCCGACATCTTGATGGAGCCCTTACTGGCCCAGTCTCAGAACTCTGCCCCGAACTGGGAGTGGCTGAGGAGAAGACTGTTCGATATTACTGTAAGATCATCTTTCCCTACCACCAAAACACCATCATCAACAAGCGGGTTCAGCTAAGGTTGGAAGTGAGACTTCTGCTCAACAGGGACCATTTTTGTTTTGTTCCCTAAGTGGACAGCACAGCATATGGGGACACTCATGTGGTCCAGGGACCCTGGCAGGGAGGAAAGAATCTGACATGACTGTTCAGTAGAAAGTAATGGCTCAGACTCTGATCCCAGGCCCCATGTGGCCATGCCCACCTGGCTGTGTGGCCCCAAGCTGAGCTTTTTACTGACTCCCAATAGGAAAGACTCTCTCAGTACTCTAGTCCCTAGACAGCTTCCAGCAGGGCTCTCAACTGGCAGAGGCACAATCTGAAGTACCCCAGCCCCAAAGTCACGGAGTTAACAGTAGGCTGTCAATTTCCCAAATAGGGCGTTGCTGTGTTGGATTACCCAATAAGCAAGACTTATTTGCACATGCTCATTTGCATAGGCTGTTTTTTAATTTTGTTTTATCTATTTTATCTGCATAGGCTTATTTGCCCTCACTTACTAATCTGTAGTGAACACTTTCACATTTTTTCACCACATCAAAGATTCTGCTTCTAGATATGGCTGAAATCTGTCTCTCTCCCAAGCCCACAGCACCTTCCTACTGAATCAAAGCTTCCTTCTAAATTTACAACTCCTGACAGGGACGGATTACCCAGTAACAAGGTAAGCACGGGTTTACTCACTCTTGTTGACTTCCTAATCTGTACTGAACAATTTCACATGGCTTTTACCTGCTCACTACAGATTAGTAAGTAAGCACAAGTTAAGCTGTGCTTACCTTGCTGTGGTAGTTAAGGTTATGCATCAACTTGGCTGGGCCTGGTTTTGAATGGCTGGGCAGCTGGATTCCCCATGATGAGACTAGCAATCAACTCCATGGTGGAATCTACTGCCTTATGGATGTGGTCTGCTTCCAGTTTATAAAAAGACAGCTTTGAGGAAGGTCTCCAAGCTTTTTGGTATGCTTAGATTCTGCATGTAGCTAAGTCTTCATTCAGCAGCCTGCCATGTTGTCTGACAATCTTAAGACTGTTTTTAGACTTAAACTAGTGGCTTGCCATGCTGCTTGATAATCTTGGGACTATGCCTTTTTATTTGTTGACCTTGGGTTTGTCAGGCCCAGCAGCCAGCAGTGGCCTGAGTGGAGAGATACCTCCAGCTCCAGTGGGCTGAGAGCAAGAGGCAGAGCTAAAGCCCAAGGTTAAGAGGCCTTCACCCAGCCCTTAGAGCTGATACTTTGAACTCAGACTTCTAGCCTCCTAAACTGTAAGACAGTAAATTCCTGTTTGTTAAAGTCACCCCATTTGTAGTATTTTCTGTTAGAGGAGCACTAGAGAACCAAAACACTTGTTTACGGGTAATCCACCCCTGGGGCACTGGGGGAAAGACAAAGGAAGGAACCTGTTGTATATGCTCATATATATGTGCCATATGTGCCGGACTAGGGCTGGGCTCCTGCAGAATCCACAGACACAGAGCCTCCACAAAAGAAGACACTACATGAGCCAGAATGTCATAATAGACATTCCTTGGTCCAAGTGCCAGGAAACAGTTAAAACTGAGGTAAAACCAATGTTCTCTTTGAACCAAGTGGGAGGCAATAGGACAGTTCCAGGGGGTTCTTGCATCAACCACCAATCACATCGGTGGGCCCCTAGAGATTCAGGCTCTGATCTCAAGGAGACCATGGTGATGGCATTGGCAGAGATGATGCAGCATGAAGCAGTGGAAAGAGTATTGGAACTGAAGTTAAGAAATGGACACTCTAGCCATGATTGTGTCATGATGACATGTATGGCCTTATTCCTGTTTCTGGTCTCACCTCCTCATATATTTTATAAGGATGTTGTTGTTGTTGTTATTTGCCGTCGAGTCGGCCCCGACTCATAGCGACCCCTCCTTGGGTTTCCGAGGCAGTATCACTACGGAAGTAGGATTGCCCAACCTTCCTTCCGAGGAGTGGCTGGTGGGTTTGAACCGCCAGCCTTCTGGTGAGCAGTCAAGTGCCTTAGCCACTATGCTACCAGAGCTCCTGTACAAGTGTAAAATTCATTGGCTCTAAGCTTCGTGGTGAGCTCTTGTGGCATAGTGCTTAAGGCACTTAACTGCTAAGCAGAAGGCTGGTGGTTCAAACCCACCAGCCACTCCTCAGAAGAAAGACTGGGCAATCTACTTCCACAGTGATACTATCTCGGAAACCTAAGGAGGGGTCACTGTGAGTCGGATCCGACTCAATGGCAGTGAGAAGCTTCATGGACAGATCACACACTCAGAAGGGTGGGAGTCACATCTCACTGTCTCTGTAGCTTCTCAGCACCTAACCTGGAGCCTGGCACCCAGGGAAGCACAATTCTTGTCTGATACTTAAGCTAAGCCCAGTATTCCACCCTACCAGCAAAATACATCCTCCCAGACAAACAAACCCTCCACCATGGTGGCCAGCATCATTTTCCCCATTTGCTCCCATGCCACGCCTTCTGCGGGGATACTGATATTCCCCACAATCATTAGGTCACGGCACCCTGAACTCCCAGAATATCCATACCTTCTGTTTATATAGCCCTTCCTGTTTCCTAATGCACTGTCACCACATTTCCTTTGATCTTAACAACAACCATTCCCATTTGTCAGAGGAGCACTGAGTCAACACAAGTTAAGTCACTTGCCCAAACTAGTCAATGACAGACCAGAATCCAAGCCTCAAAGCTCCCCAAGAGACCTCTTTCTCCACAAATGACCTTCCTGACAGGGAATGGCCAGGACTCTATTGCCTTGAGACCAGGCCTAGACCAACCTTCCTCTCACCCACTCAGGCTGGGTATAGGGGACAGAGCGGCCCTGAAGCCCAATGTCCTACCATCTTCCAGTCCCTAGGGACCAAGCACAGGCAAACTCTGGGCAATGGTATGGAGGTACAAGCAGCCAGGGGTTGGGGGTGAGGGGTCCCATCTTAACCCAGCAGCTGAGAGCCCTGAGCCCTCGACTCAGGGGAAAAAATGGTGCTTCTCCCCACTTAAAAACAGGTGTCACCTTGGGTGAGAGCTGGGGGGACAGGGAAGCCACAGGGTGGGGAAGGAAGGAAGAACTCACCTCCCTCAGCAACTGGATCCCCTTCAGTTGGTCCTGCTGCTGCTGGGCCACAGTGACCCCCAAGACGAGCGTGTGTACAACACAGGAGACCACAGATATGATGACGATGGGACTGAGGCTGAGGGGCAGCGTGATGAAGAAGGAGAAGACAAAGAAGGCCTGCCAGCCCACTGTGTCGCTGGCTGCATGGGCACGGGCAAAGTTCAGGCCCAGGTAGGAGAAGATCTGGGCTGTTATCAGCAGCCACAGCAAGTAGGGCACCACTTTGCGGGTGACCCGATCAGGGAGGAGCCCCTTTTTGCAGAGCACGAAGAGGATGATGTCCAACACCAGCCCGATCCCAGCCACGACAAGAGGTGCCAGCATGTCTTTGTAGAAGACCACGGTGCACATGACCACCACGTAGCAGTCGAAGAGGGCTGCAAACACCACCAGCACCAGCAGGGTCTCATGGCGCTGCCTTTTGAAGTAGGTCTGATAGAGGTTCTCCAAGGATTCAGGCACAAAAGTCAGCCGCATAAAGCGAGGTAAACAGAGGCAAGACCCTGAGTTCCGGACGGAGATTTCATGGGTCCGCCCCACCCCACGGTCAGGGTCAGAGGGCAGGCTGACAGAGTACTCAGCAGAGTACTCAGCCGAGTACTCCGGCTCGGAGAAGCCCTGGTTCCGCGGCATCTTTGCTAGTGTCTGTTTCTACAGGCTCTGGAGAAGAGGACTGGGGGCCACTCACCAGGGCTCTCTGTAACCTGGGGAAGGCTCAGGGTTCCTTCTTAGGTAGGGCTGAAGTGTGGCCACCTGGGGCAGGTACACAGAGTAGGCTTCCAGGACACAGGGAGTACTGATCATCTGGAACTTAAAAGAACATCATCCCTAAGTAGAAGCTCCTTTTCTTCCCTACCCCCCGGTTTTCCCATGACCCCCTCTACCACTTCCCCTCATAAAAGAATAGGTGCTGCAAGAGGCTCTAGAACCAGGGCCTTCCCCACCACTCCCTCGCTATGCCACCACCGACCACACACACACATTTAGTCCAGTCCACGCCAAACACTCAATTTCCTGTTTCTGGCTTGCTGAGAGGCCTGGCCACCCTTCCATCTCTTGCACCTCTGGTGTCTCTCTGTGTCACCACTTCTCTCTCAGTCCCTGACTTCCTCACCTAAATTCCTGCCAGGCTCAAACCTTAGAAGCTGAAAATAAAACGTGTCAGAAAGAAACCAGAGCCATCCTAGAGATTCCTGAATCTTCCTTCTGTTTACTTCCGTTTTCTACCCAGCCCTTGGAGACTCTAGTCTCCTTCCCAACCTGGGCCCCCTTCCCAACCTCGGGGCACTACGTCCCCTCCAGAGGGCAGGTTCAGCGTTCTGGAAGCCTGGCTCTGCCTCTGCGTTTACCTGTGCGCGAACTCGGAAGCCGCGTGGTCTGGCCGGTCCCGGCACTGGCTGCGGAACCGGGTCACGCGTGCGGCGGGCTGGCGGCGGGAGAGCTCAGCGCTCCCGGGGGCTGCTCCCCGCAGCGCAGCGCCGCCTTGCCATGGACCCCAGCCCGCGGCCTGAGCGCAATTCCCCGGTCAATCCCTGGATCCGGTCTGGAGAGGCGCAAGGCTGTCCCTCAGCATCCAGGGGCGCCTGGCCGCAGGAGGAAGGAGGCGGCTGCGGCGGAGAGATGGAAAATTCGGGGGCACGGGTCAAGCGCGTCCGCCCCTAGAACTGAGGCTCGGGGACCAGGGCCTGGAGGCTCGGGTGGCGGCGCGCGCGGCGCTGCGGACCCCTCCCTCTCGCACCGCAGTGGTCGCCGCGGCGTAGGCGGCTAGGGACGCGCTTGGGGCCCTCCCCGGCGGGAGCGCGGGCTGAGGCCGGGGAAGCCCGCCAGCATCCTCTTCCTCGCCCGCCGGCAGAACAGAACCAGCTGAGCCCTAGCGCCGCGCGCTGCACAGTGAGCCTCCCCAACACGGGCGGGCGGCTCCGGTCCACGCGCGCTCCAGGCCCCGGGAGGCGGGCGGCGGGGGCGGGCGGCGGTCCCTCCCTCCCCAAGTCGCCGCCTCTAGGCAAGCGCGTCCGGGAGTTGGGAAAGCGGTGTGAGGCGCCGGCTTCAGACCTGGGAAAGCCGCGGGGAAAGGGGCAGGAAAGAGGAGAAGAGGGAGGAGGAGCGCAGTTGTGAGAGATGGAGGTGGGCACGGTGCCCTCGATGACGGCCCCCGCGTTCCCTACACGCTAGCACCTGGTAGCGGGCCCGCGGCGACAGCTGCGTGGAAGCGCAGGAGGTCTGGATGGGCAGGAACGATGGGGTGAATCAACGTCTTCCCTTGGGCAGGTCCCATCTAGGAGAATAAAAGCCGGGGACGTGCTTCCCGCAGGTGAAGCGCGCTCTGGGGCACCCCTAACGCCCCCTCCTTCTGCCGCAGCTTCCTTCCGGGCCCGAGGTGCTGGGGCTGAGGTCTGGGGACAGCTCCGCCCACCTAGGGCGCCAAGACGCCCGAGTGTGAACCTAGGCTTTTCTACCGAAGGGGCTCTCTACTCGTCTTTGTTCTCAAGAGAAGGAGTGAGAGTATTTCTAGTAGGCACCCAACACATGGAACTAGGAGACACCCCGCTTTGAAAAAAATCTCCCGTGCAAAATCTACCCATTTGAGATGTGTATGAATTCAACAATTCTCCGTTAAAATGCAAATGCTTCTTTGGAAGGTTAAACCTATCAGTCTTTGACACTGTAATGTAATGGCAAACTTTGTCAAGATCAACCACAGGCTTTATGAGTTCACAGGAGATCAAGGAGAGAAGGAAAATAAGTAGTTTTGTCACAAAGTCATGTGTGTTTTGGGGTGGACAATGTTGAGGACAGCCAGCAGCATTGGGGGATTGGTGAACCTAGAGAGTGCTGAAGAGTTGGGGTAGAGTGGAGAGAAACTGCCATCCAGGCCTGGGGTGGAGGGCCTCCTCATGGCCCTCAGAGTCATCTTTGGGTTCTCTTCTCAGAATGTCAGGCATCAACTCTCATCCCTCAGGGAATGGGCCCTTTCAGGGAAATGATCCTGCCTCTCTATTTCTATTAGTCCCTCATGTTGTTGTTGTTGTTGTTATGTGCCCTCGAGTCGGATCCGACTCATAGCGACCCCTCCTTGGGTTTCCAAGGCAGTATCACTACGGAAGTGCATAGTAAGTCTGAAAAGCTGCCAACCTCAGCCCAAACTTCTTAGGGCTTTGATTCCAATTGTCATGAACATAACATCAGATGTAGAGGGAGAGTACTTTGAATAAAGTTCAAAATTTTATTTTGAGTTTCACATGTTAAAAGAGGGCATGGTTTTCATGTTTAATAAAGGTAGATGTGTTAATGGGGAGGGGAAGCTAATAAGTGCTTTGTGCTTTGGCTCAAGGGATGCCCACGTCAACACCCTTTATGAGTGGCTTCCCCTTTCCTGGCACACATGCCAACCCTTGTAGTTCTCAAGTGAAGTGCTAGGCTTCGCAAGGCTATGCCCAGCTCCTGTGTCCCAAGGATGCCCTGCTGGGTCTTCTGCCACCACCCATGCCCCAGCCTCTCTTCCCCACCTATCCTTTGAAGGGAGAAGTTTCCACACAGACACCTCTGGTAAAATCCGGGATCTCCTGGCCCTCTCACTTGGACCACCATTTGCACTGCCCACTTCCTGCACATCTACAGCCCTCCTCTCTTTACAGTGAGCTCCAGCTGAGTAGTCATTACAGAGAGCATGCATTATATGCCCACCCAGACTGGACATCAGGGAAGAGCGGAGGAGCCATCTAATTCCTGCCCTTGAAATGCCTGCCAACCCTGCCAGGACACCATGTACACAGGCGAAGGAGATACTCAGCTGTGCACACAAGTTGCCACTGGAGGCAACGTCTGGCTGAGGTGACTTGAGATAGGGCCTTTCAGGACGGAAGGAAAGGATCTGATTGGGCCTAAAAGAGGCAACCTTCTGGTAGCCGTAGCCACCTGAACTAAGGCCCACCAGCAGTAAAAGGGCCCCTGCTCTGCATTCTGGGTTACAGCATGGCCCTTCCCCATGGATGTGAGAAGTGCAGCAAGCCAGCTGCAGCCCTCATGGGGCCTTCCTGGGAGCCGGAGGCAGTGGCAGGGATGTTCCAAAGCAGGAAATCTGCCCAACGTTCTGCCTGTGGATGAGATCAGGGAAAACACAACTGGTAGGACACAAGCAGCAAGACCATGAGGGCCCAATTTGTCTTGTTCAAGGTTGCTTCTCCAGGACCTACTGCCTAGTAGGTATTCAAAACGTCATTATTGAATGAATGGGTGGTTTCGCTAAGAAGAAATGACACTTTGTAAGTGCACTGATTGTCCCTAAGGGGACCAACAGCCCATATGCACTTATGCTGAAAATGTCCTGCTGCTGGAGCAATGAAAAACACACACTGAAATGAAAAGGGTAGGATTAGGGGGAAGTGCTTTCAGTTTCTGATTTATACATTTGTAGTGTTATAATTTGGACAGCTAGCATGCATTGCTTTTGTAATCAAAAGATAAGTAAATATACCTTTAAAACACACATGTACACATGCACTATACAAAGACCTTGAATGGCTTTGTGGATGGCCTGTGCTAAATGCATGTCCTAAAATGAAGACAGAATCATGGGCTTAAGTAGAAGTGTGGAAGGCAGCCTAACCCCCCCACCCCCACCCTACTCCAGGATCTGCTTGGATAGGACACCTCTTTGCTCAGGGCAGCTCTTTGTTTATATGGTTCAAGGCTAGAGATGATAGTGGGAAATTGTTATTGGATAAACAAGAGTGGTTTGGCCCTCTGGGAGAAATGTGGTAGCTCCTGGATCCAGCAAACAATAGACCAGAGCAGAACTCTGGTGTCCTGGGGGACAGAGAAATAGGAGGAGAGAGAGAATCAGTAGTTCCCCTGAGCTCTGTTTGGGCCCTTAGCTGAAAGCAGAGCCTTAGCCTGAGTGCAGGTGATTTAATTGGGAAGGTGATTCCAGGGAAAGGGAGTAGGTCTGGGAAAAGTGAAACAGAGAAGGCGGGAGAGGCAATAAATGCAAGTATGTGTGGTGGAGCTGCTCACAATGGGCATTGGCGCTCAGTCCCACTGAACCTTCTGAGCTGTGCAGAATGCCCCCAGATTCCCCAATGGGGGCTTAGTGAGTGGAATATTCACCCACTGCTCCCTCCCTGTTTTGGCCCTCTTGTGCCACTCTAACAGAAATATACCACAAGTGGATGGCTTGAACAAATGGGAATTTATTCTCTTACAGTTTAGGAGGCCAGAAGTCTGAGTTCAAAGTGCCAGCTCTAGGGACTGGGTGAAGGTCCCTTGACCTTGGCCTTTAGCTCTGGCTCTTGCTCCTGGCCCATTGAAGCTGAAGGCATCTCTTCACTCAGGCAGCTGCTGGCTGCTGAGGCTGACAAACCCAAGATTCACAAGGAAAATGACACAGTCTAAAGATTATCAAGCAACATGACAGGCCCCTGTTCAAGTCCAGAAACAGTCCCAAGATCGGCAGACAACATGGCAGGCCACTCACTGATGACTTGGCCAAATGTAGTATCCAGATGTGCCAAGAAGCTCAGAGACCTTTCTCAAAGCATCTCCTTATATACTGGAAGCAGACCACATCCCTAAGGCAGCTACTCAACTGCTCACAATAGATTGCACTATGGGGTTGATTATTAGTCTCATCATGA